GTGGTGCCCCCCCGCCCCATAACCCTCCTCCATCATCCCTGGTTTTGCCCCACATCGGAGAGGGTCCCGGGGGGATCAGCAGCGCCGTCCCTCTCTGCTTCCAGTTCCAGCAGCTCAAGAAGGCGCTGGAAAAGCGCTTCCCGGGACGCCTGGACATGGTGAGTGCCGGCACCAGCCCTCCATCCCACCTGGAGAATCCCGGCTTTGCCCTCCCTCCCGCCCGGAGCTGAAGGGGGGATCCCGGGGTCACTTCTCCTCCCCATTCCCAGACCGGCGAAGGGACCCGCGAGGTGACGGGCTGGTTCGAGGTGACCGTGGGCGGCCGCCTGGTGCACTCCAAGAAGGTGAGCGCATCCCGGGAGCGCGGCCGGGGGCTCCCGGCGCCCTTCCCGCCTTCCTTGCTCCCCTTCCCAGAACGGAGACGGGTTCGTGGACACGGACGCCAAGCTGCAGAAGATCGTGGCCGCCATCGAGGCCGCCTTGGCCTAGGAGCAGCATCCCGGGGCCGCCCGCTCGATGACGGGAACGGCTGAAACGTCCCTGGACACAAGGCTCTTCCCCGACGGCCGCGGGCGCCGGCATTCCGGCTCCGACGCTCCAATCCGCTTCCCTCCCTCCCTTCCGTGCTGCTCCGCCACATTCCCCAAGGCTGAACGGTCCGAATGTAGGAAAAGGGTTAAAAAATGGAGAAACCGCCTTGGTGACGCCAATTCCCACCCGGGATCGGGCAGCGCGGGACACGGGGGAGAGCGATTCCCCATGGAGCTCATCCTGCTGCCTCGGCCACCCCCGGGGTTCCTTTGGTGCTGACGGGGGGGAATAAAACACTGGAAATGCCGAGTTTTTGGGTGGCGTTAGCGTCTTTGGGGAGGGAAGGGCTGCGCTGCAGCTGGGGCGGATTCACCGATCCCCCAGGATCCATGCATCCCTCTGCATCCATGTACATCCTTCCCGGGGCTTCCTGATGTCCTCCGGGATGCGAATCCTTAGCGTTTGCTGATCCCAGGGCTGTTTCCAAGCCTCGAGAGCAATAATGGATCCACTGGGGGTGCTGACTCCGGCAGATGCCCTATTCCCAGGCCCTATTCCTGCTCTTCCCAAATCCCCATGGTTTTATGCTGCACACAGTAAATCCCTCTTCCCAGTGGTGCTTCCCATCCGTGTTGTGCCAAGACCGTTAACTCAGCCCTGTCCGGATCCGCTGTGGAGCGAGCGGGAATGCCGCTGCATTCCCGGAGGGGGGAGCTCCCTTTCTGGGCATGATCCCGGCTCCGGCAGCGGTTCCGTGGAATTAAACCTCGGTCCGGCCAATCTGGGGCTGAATGAAACAATTCCTGGGAAACAAGGAATAAAAGAGCGAATCCCTCTCTCCCGTCATCGGGAAAATGGGAATGCCACGTTCCGGGTGACGGATGGACGCGCGGGCGCTGCCCTCTGGTGACAACAGCCGGAGAGTCAGGCGTCCCCGCGGGCGGATTGGGGACAATCCTGAGGGTTTTGGGGCCAGAGGGAGGTGGGTGTTTTGGGGCGAATCTGGAGGGTTTGGGGGTGACAAGAGGCAGGTGCGTCCAGGGGCCTCGTGATGTTTGGGGTGATGGGGGGCATTTTGGGGGGACAATCCCCAGGTTTTGGGGACAGTCCCCTGGTTTTGTGCTGATGGCCATGTGGGTGCTTTGGGGACCACCTGGAGGTTTTGGGGGGCGGGAAGCCGCTGTTTTGGGGGTAATTCCGAACTTTTTGGGGGACGACGGGTGGATTTGGGCCATCCCCCCCGTTGGGGTGACGAGGCGGCTGTTTGGGGCCATCGCGCGGGTTCGGGGCTGAGAAGGCGCTGCGGGTTTTTGGGGACATCCCCGG